TATTCTGAGCATAAGCCTAGCCGATAGAGACCATTGTAAAAATGAACTGGATCGGCTTAAAATAATATTTCTTGAGAATAATTATGCTCTAGTCTTGATTGAGAACAATATTAGATTAATAAAGAATAGCTTTTAGAATGGTAAACACGTAAGGAGAGATAAGGAGGCGTCTTGTCATGTTTTGTCTTTACCTTCGTGCATTCTGTCTAAAAGGAGATGTGAACATGTAAGGAAATGGGGGACAAAAACGATCTTCAGGAAAACTACGACACTTTCTTTTAGTTATGCCCACTTTTAAAGAAAAAGTTGACCAATTCTCCAGATCGGGTATCTACAAAATAATGTGTTCATGTGGTCGTTTTTATGTTGGGGAGACTTGTCGTCCCATTCGACAAAGCGTGGCTGAGCACAAAAGCGCCTGCAAAGGCTGTTGGCTTCAAAGATCGCAGCTTTCTGAGCACAGGCCAGAAACTGGAAACGAGATGGAATGGTCTCAAACTTGTCTTTTAGCCGATTATAGCGGCTGAGCGGCTGAGCGTAAAATGAGAGAAGCCATCGAAATAAACCGAATAGGAAATATCTTGAATGTAAAGAATAGCGGCAATACATTTAATAAAAGCTAATCATGATTAAGTAATGGGTTCAGGGACAGAGAGCGTGTTGAGCCGCCTACAAAAAGGAGGCGACTCAACTAGTCTTTTCATGTCTTGCTTCGAATCACGGTCACTCCTTTGCGCTTTTGGCCCACTCTTTCTCTCTCACATGAAGTAAAAGAAAACGTTCATCAAAACAACCAGACACACCTTGCGCAATCGGAGTGATGGTTAAAATATATACAGAGAGGTGGCAATGGCCGAGAACAGGCGTTACTTGTGCTGTCCTAATTACTTTGAGCCATCACTGCTGACTTCATACATAAGCGAACACAAACAGGTACAAACACATATAAAGACAGACACACTGACATGCATCGATGTTGACATATGACCATAACTAACCAAATCACTTTATACTTGATCAAAGAGGCCAGATATAGAATATATATACCGCTTGTTAGGAATGAGCCGGTGAGTTTTATCAACTCGTTTGCTTCAATTTTGTTGTGACGATGATACCTTGCTCTGTTGGTGTTCGTCATATGACGGACGAAAGCTCAGCACCTTTTCACCGGACTCGAATGAGATTACCTCAGAAACAGCGTGACTGTGAATGCTCCAGTAAAGCCAATCGACAGCTGGTCAAGAAGAATCCGCCGTTGTCTTCTGGTGGAATCGAAATTCGAATCTCTTCACTAACCACTTTCACTCGAGATGAAAGTAAGCTCAACAGTAAAAGTTGAT